ATCTGAAGGACAAGCTTCACCCAAATCAGATTGCCCACACCTTAATGAAAGAGTCACTTCTCACCTATCCACCATTGAGGAGTTAGGTGAGCAAGAACTAAGAGGTTTTGTTCTGCAGTGGCCCCACTTCTCTGGAATGGGTTGCCACTGGGGATGAACCAAATACTATCATAGCAGACTTTTAGGAAAAGCCTATTTGTTTACTTTGCCCCCCCCCCCACCCACACCTGGTCATGTTTTATTGGATTATTCTGCTCTGTACCTACAATTATACTGTATGTTTAGTATTTTTAAAATTCATGTTGGCTGTTTGCTGGCTTACCACTATATCATTTTTAATTATATGAATGTTAATGTTGTAAGCCTCTTGGAACAGCTTCTGTCCTGAAAAGCACCCTTGAAATATTTTAAATAAATGTATTATAATATATTAAAATGCATAGATAAGTGCAATAAGCCATCTTTCAAAAAATCTAAATGCAATACTCTTTATCTTTAAACCTCTGCAATGGCATTATACTCCAAAGTTTTTAACTACACTAACTAAATATTGCTGTAGGGAGAATTACTCTGGGGTTCACTGTAGTTCTAGAATAATTTTCTTCAAATCAACTGACAATTTGTACAGAATTTATTATTCATTCCTACATATTAGGTACTGACAGGAGCGTGATGCCATTGCTAAGTTAAACTACTATATATTTCATGTTTTCTGAGTTAGGAAGTCACTGAAGGTGCAACTGCTACAATGACTATGAATTAAGAAAAATAACATAGAATGGGGTTTTAGCATGAGTTCCAAGGAAATCATATGTTCATGTTAAGATATTTGTTTCACAAAACTGTAGTATGCATATTATGGGATTCTTTCTGATGTTGTGGGCTATTACTAGCCACAGCTGTACAATTTCTGAGCACAACGTTTTTGAACCTGACGATGACAGAATTCTACCATTTCTCTCCAGAACTATAAATATCCAGTAACATTTTAAAATGGGCTTTCAAATAACTTTTGATAAAGCCTTCACTCAAATCTCCTGAATAACCTTACCAGGTAAAGGATCCAATAAGTGCTTAAACCAATGTAGGTGAAAAGGTAGAAACAGATGAGTTTCACAATGGAAAGAAAGAAGCAATAGTGTTCCCTAAGAATGAATATTCATTCTGGAATCCAGTTTGAGCAGTGACATAGCCAAGTTTGTGGATGACACCCCAATTATTCAGGGTAATGAAAATCCAAGAAAACTAATAAGAGCCTTTCAAAACTGACTGAATCAACAAAATGGCAAATTGCACTTAATGTAAGTAAATGTAAATTACTGTTCACTGGAGGAAACAATTCCAACTCCTGATGGAATACAAACTGTCTTATGACATTCCAGGAAAAAGTTTGTAATATGGTTGTAGATAGTTTAGTGAAAACATCAACAATGTGATAGGGAGAAAAAAAGAAACGCCCCTATTCGGGATGATTAAGATTGAAAAAATGGCTAATATAATGCCTTACATAAATTTATATTCCAAACTTGAAACACTACAGGGCTGTCATCACTCCATCTCAAGTACATGGTAGAACTCCTACTTCAACCTATCCATACATGAATACAAGAACAGGAAGAAAAATCACATTTGCGATTTTAAAAATGGTCATTTAATATCATTTCTGGTTGGCTCACTTCAACTTTGACCTTTTTTAACTTAGACTTTGATTTCATTTTTTCTTGCAAAGAGAAGTCTGACAAGTTTATTTTCAAACAGTCTTCTTTAAAATATGCTTGATACATTTAAAAAAGTATTATTATTTGCCATAAAGTGGCAGTTCAAAACAAACACTTTAGTCAGCATTAGCTACTTATGACTACAGATGCAACATCTATAGTAGGCTTAACAGCTAATACAAAGTGGCATTAATGTATCTAATTTTGTTTCAGTGAGATAGAAACTTAGAGCAGGGCCTCAAACCATTTTGGATCCATGATACATTTGGGAATTTGTGAACTGCTATCGGCACCACCACAAAATGGCTGTCAAGGAGGAAGTGGCTAATCATATAATGGCTGCCATCAGGGACTGGTTAGTCAAAAGAAGCAAAAGAGGAAAACCAGCAAGATGTAAGGGGAAGAAATTGCAATGCTGGGAATGGAGGAAACAACAGGATAAAAGGGTGAATGGGACAAAAAAAAAGCAAGGCTAGGGGCTGGGAAGGGAGAGATATAGCAAGGAAAAGGGTTGAGTGGAGAGAAATATCAATGCCAGAGGTTAGGGGTGCAAAGAGCATGAAGAAGTAAGCTCTGTGAAGATGGAAAAGACTAGGTGGGATCTTTCCTTTTGTGTTGCTCCATGAACAACTGACTGGTGACATGTTCTGGCACCGTAACATCTTTTAAGGGGTTTTTTTTGGGGGGGGGAACTAAATAGGACAGGAAGTGGAGAGCTCCACAGGGAGCCATGGTGTCCAAGGGTGCCATGTTGTGGTCTCCCACCTTACAGATAGTTCCAACAAGAATTTCATGATTAAGCATGCTTGCCACATTAATGCATACTGCCCAGAATTCATATCAACCTTAAAACGCCTATTCTTTGCAAGAATTTGTGTGACTGAATGTTGAGTGAATGCCTCCTTCCCCAAAAGGAAATGACTTTCTTTTTAGAGAGTTCATATGATGCCTGAATAGAAACTCAAACACTTTCTGCATAGAGCTAATATACTGTAATGGCCATATACTAGGCTGAGCTGTGAATCAAGAAGCCCACAAATCTTGCCTGTGATATAAACTTAACCTCACAGCCTCCTTTCTGTAATACGAAAATAATAATGCTAAACTATTTTATAGAACTGTTGTAAAGATGACTGAGATACTATATGTGAAGCACTCTGAATACCCCAAAGCATACATAAAGGCCAAGTATTGCTACTATCTTCATTGTCCTATCAGATCAGCTGGCCATGCTTCCAACCATGGAATGCTGCATTTATGGACACATATCTTCCAATGTATGGAACTTCAGCAAGAATGTTTAACCATTTTTACCTCAAACATAATTAATTCAAAGACAGAAGTTTTTGTTGAGAAGATGGTGGTTCTATGCAGAGGCTTTAGATCAGTAGGCTATGAAGTATAAAAGAGTGTCCAAGTGAGTATATGGTGCAAATAGGCATCTAAGTGGTCGAGAGATATTCTGCAAACCTGCAGTCCCTACTCCACATTTAAAAGAAATTGATTCTAGATACTAAATTTCCTCCTGACGATGGCCCAGGGATGATTTTTGTCTATTGTACCCATGAAAAAGATTTGCATAAATGTGTTAATATATTTACATCATTTTCATTATCTTAACTATGCCTGCAATAAGCATGTATCAGATTAATGTATCTGATAGTATTTATTAATACATACTAATACTATGAATTATTATTTCATTGCATTTATAACAGAAACTCTGCCATTCACATTTTAATGGCTGTAGAATGACCCCAAAGTTATAAACAAGTGCTTCAGAAGATGGGCCAATATTAACACAAGACTATACATGGCCCACGCACACAATGCCATTATCATGGCCTTTAAAGAACAAAGAGAAAGAGAGAGAGATGGATGATGTTGCAACAATGCATGTACATCTTTGAATTGGTCTAGCAATGCAGAAGAATATATAGAAAGCAAACATTAAATATAAATCCATTTTTAAGGAAACTACCATATAACTGCAGAAACACGTGCCCTTTCCCTGCAGACTAGTAATATTGCTATCTTGAGTATTAGATAATTGCAATGACCCTTCACCATAAGAGCTAATTTTGAGACAAGTGACATGCAACCAGTAACAAGCACACATTTATTGTACAAATACACTATTGTAAAAATAATCCCAAACATGTTAAATTTTACCATCAATTGTTAGGTCATGTACAGTATTTGGTGCCCTGTGGCAATATCATCTAATGCAATTGAATAATTTCAGCTATCATATGTTGTTCATTTCATTGAGCATTGATACCAAACAGCGAGATACCTTGGTTGGCTATTTTGTTTAGTTTATTACATTTGCTACTTTTAAAACTGTGAGCTTTTCTTTTCTTTTTTGCTATAGAACAGCTCATAAAAGCATAGTGGTTTGATCTGGGGGTGGGGAAGAGAAAATCAGTACTTACAGCTCTCATACCTTGCACTGAAAACTAGATTATATCTTTAGAAACTAGACATAAAAAATGGAGCATAAAGGAAACTGCACTCACTCCAGCTATCCCTTTAGCAGATCTGGTTATAGAGTCAGATGTTTTTTTTCCTCACAACTTCCTTGCAGTTTATATAATTGCATAATATTTTCCGTATTATTCTCTATCCCCTTTTTAATGCAGCTTTACATCAGCAGTGGCCTGAGTATGTTCAGCAGAAGAGGCTATATCCCAGGTACCACAATTCTAGACAATAAAAATATCATGGTTGGTAGCAGTAAAAATTAAGGTAGAAAAACCCACAAAAGTTTATAAGCAGGAAAATTTAATGAAATAAATATGGTGTGAAGTCTTGAGATTGCCACCAAATATATATAGAATAGCATCTATAATATTAGAAATAGCTCTGAAAGAGTGCATTGCTTACAATGGATACACATATCTGTTAAACTTTTTAAAAATCCAAAAAATTCTGAGTTTCACAAAATTAAATTTGTAATACTACGTTAATAAACCATTAGTCTCACAAGTAAACCTGAGAAATGAAAATACAAACATTTGGCTTACGTTTCTAAATTATATACAAGAGTGAAAAAGTCTTGCAACATTCAGGGTTTTTTTTAAGGTAATTGCTATTATACCATGAAAGCAGTGGTAAAACCGGCTGTCCAAAGTTAATTTTCTCAGAACTGCATGTTTTAAGACTCCCTCGGCTAGCTGCAGGTGGCATCTGGTCCACTGCCAGTATGTCAGAATCTCTGATCATCATCTGGACTACAAATAAACAATCATTCAACTGTTTTTTACTTTTCATTTTCAGAAGATGAGGACGGAAGTGATAGAAGGCAACAACACCAAACCTAGTGCTCCTCTCCTGACTCATCGCTACCCAAGAATGGTCACTAAAGATGGGCATAGCACACTCCAGATGGATGGTGCCCAAGGGAAAGGCCTTGCATACATAAAAGATGCTTGGGGAATCCTAATGGATATGCGTTGGAGATGGATGATGCTGGTATTTTCTGCTTCGTTTGTCCTCCACTGGCTTGTCTTTGCAGTGCTATGGTATCTACTAGCTGAAATGAATGGGGATCTGGAGATTGATCATGATTCCCCACCTGAAAACCATACAATTTGCGTAAAGTATATCACTAGCTTTACAGCTGCTTTTTCCTTTTCACTGGAGACACAGCTCACTATTGGTTATGGCACAATGTTTCCAAGTGGAGACTGTCCAAGTGCAATCGCTCTACTTGCTATACAAATGGTACTGGGGCTGATGCTGGAGGCCTTCATCACAGGTAATTAGATCTTATTTCATAACTAATCACTACAATGCTATGGGTCAAATGAAAATATTATCAAGAAGCACAAGAAGGGAAGTAAAGATAAGGTCATGCCATGAATATTCAGAAAAATACCATCCTTGTCAGAAGAACTTGACAAATATATGTTTCTATTTTTACAGCATAAGAAGAAAGAGTTTGCACTATCTCATGTTGAACAGCAGTGATAATTCAGTTGTTCTCTAATTAGTGTTTGGCTATGTTATTTCAATGTGTACAAACAGTGTTAGATCTTTGCACAGATTTCTAAAAGTGTGCCCACATATACTTGTATAACTGAAAACTAGTAATATGATCTTAAGCAGCTTTATTTGGGATATAAGTCCTACTTAGTTCCACAGGTCACTCCCTATAAATACTTTTAGGATAGTAGCCTAGGATTTTTTTAGTTGACAAGTTATCAATACAAATGAAGGACGTTTGAACCCTGGTATGCTATATAGTAATTTGAAATTGGCTAATAAACAGAAAAAAGCTTTATATCACTATAACTTCATTTTACTATATAATTAACTTTGTTACAAAATAAATCTCCAAAGAGATAGCATAGCACAACAGAGAGCTTGGCCTATGGGGTTGTATAGAAATAAATGAACTTGAAATGCTACATTTCACAGCAAAGAGTATAGCTCTTGTGCCCTGCAAAATAAATGTTAGTATCACAGATAAGGGAGATAGTATTACAGTTATTTTAAATAAACATTTTTTTTAAATTGACCACAAAGAGTAGTTTTGTGGTTCAGTTAATATAATGAAACTGAACAATATGTGAACTATTAAAAAGCAAGAACACTGAAGCTAATAACAACAATGTGACCCTAGTATGTGCTTTGTGAATCGCCCAGACAGCTTCAGCTGTTGGGCAATACAGAAAGGAAATAAATAAGAACAAGAACAAGAAGCCACCTCTTTAGTTGCACTTGGTTTCCATATAATATGAATGGTATCAAGAGATTATACTTACATGCATGATCTATATTTAGATTCTCTTTTTATTTAGGTGCATTTGTAGCAAAAATTGCCCGTCCAAAGAATCGAGCTCTCTCCATCCGGTTTACTTATTCTGCAGTAGTGACACATAGAGATGGAAAGCCATACCTAATGTTCCAAGTGGCCAATACTCGCCCAAGCCCACTCACCAGCGTTCGAATTTCTGCTGTTCTTTATGAAGAACAGGAAAATGGTCAACTACATCAAACTAGTGTGGATTTCCATCTGGACAGCATCACTTCTGAAGAGTGCCCATTCTTTATTTTTCCCCTGACCTATTACCATTCCATAACTCCATCAAGCCCTCTGGCCATTCTCCTACAAAGGGACGCTCATCATCACTTTGAGCTTGTAGTTTTCCTTTCAGCCACACAAGAGGGCACAGGAGAAACATGTCAGAGGAGGACATCCTATCTGCCATCAGAGATCATTTTGCATCATCATTTTGCCTCCATGTTGGTCCGAGGTGCCAAAGGGGAATATCAGATCAAGATGGAGAATTTTGACAAGACAATCCCAGAACTTCCAGCAGTGGACTCCAGAAGTTCAAAGAGGACTGACAAGGAGATCCGCATCAACGGGCAGCACATCGACAGCTTCCAGATCTGTGAGACTCATCTGACTGAATAGACTTTGAATGTGGAGGCCAGTTTATTTTATTTTTTTAAGAATTGGATTAGACTATCATGTCAATGTTTTAATTTCTTTCCCCATTTTCTTGTGCTTTTTTGGTCTCTGATACCTTTGATTTCAGAACAGCATGCAGAACAAAGAGCAAAATATCCATGTAACTGGATGAACCACTGGATTAACTGCACAAAAACAGAGTCAGGGACAAGAAACACTGCACAAATCCTGGGAAAACAGAAATGCTACCTGCTGAATTCACTAGACTATGATTAAAACTGCACTGACCCCGAAACAAGAGACTTTCAGACTGAGACAGCTTGTCAAAAGTCTAATTAGATGACATAAGGGTAAATACTGTGGCAAATATGGATAAAACTGTAGTAAACTGTTTCAACTTTAAAAATATTCCACCTGAAAACCCAAGAGCCTTCAGTCACTGAATCAGCCCTTTCCTGCTTTACAGTTACAACAGAATATGCTGATGTCTAAACATGCTATGAAGAATGTTGCTAGTATTTTCTGTGGCAGTGAAATTGCAATCCTGCTGTGCTTGTTTATTAAGGAAAATCACAAGCATTTGCTGAAGCTCTTTGTTCCAACAGCTAAGAACAAGTTCAACATCCTTAGGCAGTTCTCTGATGAACGTGTAAGACAAGTATATTGACATGTATTAGACTAATATTCTGTATCGGGACTATTGCATACTTAGAAACCAGCATCAGGAATACATCATTCTGTATTCATAATTATGCTGTCAAGGATCATCAATGCCTCACATGTCTGCCTTATTCCACATTGAAACTGGAATACTGTCATCAGAAAGATTCACAGCTTCCTACACCTATTGCACTTTCTTTGCAAAATAAGTACTCAATTCATACAATACAGAGTTAAACATTTACCTGTATAAAGTAACTGTACAATCAGAATCTAATTATGAGACTTTGAACATTATGCTCTGTATGTATGCCAATTATGAATCATGATTATCACCATAACAGATTATCAGAACTGGTGGTGTTGGTTCTTTTAAAAACTATTAAAATGAACAAGAGTTTTTAAATGGTCCAAAGGACCACTTTTATGGCTTCTCAACATTTTTTCATCTAGGCAGGTAAAAAACGACTTTGTACTCAAAACCAAGAAAACTACAGAGCATAATCAAAAATGCTAACTACTTTTATGTTAAAGGATAATTTAAAGGCTCTTCACAGAATACATCGCAAAGATATCAATATTTTTACTTTCAAATTGCTAGTTAGTTACTGACTTGTGGTTATTAAGAACCTGACCTTTATTTCTCGAAAATGGATGAGCATATTTATATGTATATATTAGTGTTAATGTTGAGATTTGTTACCAAATCATAGAGTATTTTCTAAGAAACCATCATTCATTTCCCCAAATCTAACGAATGGTTATGCATCTGACAGTAAATATCTGGATGCAATGTTCAGCTGAGAACATGTTGGAGCTCTGGACAGTCACAATGGTGCCAGCTGCCAACTCAGAGCAGCTAAAAGGTATTAAGGCAACAACCAGTCTTTTACTACTGTTACTAATGTTGATGTTCTATGTAAGCAACAACTAGAGTAGTCAGCATATACTCTGATGGGAGGAACTGCCTTCTTCAAAGGAACACAAGAAAGCAGGGAGTTATGACAACCTACATGTTACGAATAATTTATATCTGGAACATAGTCACATTATAACACTAGAACCTTGTGTTCTCTTACAGGGTTTTGGAAATATTTATTCCCTTATCTGTGCTGAGGCTTTAATCTTTTCATTCACAGTGTACTGTAATAATGGCTTAGCCCAATGCAAAGACCAAATAGCAATAGCAGTCACCATCTTGAATTAATATAGATTAAACTGTATTTGTACTCACATTATTCTTTGTCAATCATGATCACTTTAAAAGTTTGTTCCCATTTACAGCATTATCAGCCTCTTAAAACATACCTTTTTAACCCATGTGCCCTACCTCTACCAAAATTCCAGCATATATCACATTTCTCTATATTTGTTTAAATTTTAGTGGGCATTGCCATTGCTTAGCATATCCAATATGCACAATGAAACTAATGCAACATTTCACTCAAGCAGTGGATCATCCACTCAGGATGTGAAATGCTTTCACACCCTTCAGTATAATACAATTAAGTGCACTACAATTCAATTTCTTTTATTTCAACTTTAGTTTTTTGTTTTAGATATGAATTTGCAGATATATTTTGTTTCGTTTAATACAATCTAAGGAATTCTTAAGACCAGTTTTTTCTAGCTACTCTAAAGACTGAAAAAAAGGAAAATTACTTAGAGAACAATGTGTGCATTCACTTGGGCTAGACAACTTCACTACTGAGGCCTATACAGGAAATATGCCACTAGCAGCAGGCATATTTAATTAATTACTGTCACTTAAAGAACAGGAGCTCAGCATTATCTTGCATTGCATAGTGGATATGGGAGATGCTGGTTGAAATCCCCACTCAGAATTCAAACTATACTGTGTTGGCATTGCCTATCCTAATTTATATGATTAGTCTACCTTGCAGAACTGTTGAAAGTAGAGGGCACTATAAAGATTTCTATGCACTTAATTGTATTATATAAATAATATAAATAATTTAGATTCTCAAATATCAGTCCAGAACTATATAATGTAAATGTTCCAAAGTTCAAATACCCTCCAGGAAACCAAGCTTTAAAGTTTTGGAGTACAAAGCCAAAGTCATAAGACGAAAATAGCAAAACAAAATAATTTAGATGCTTTAAAGGAGACTCAGGGGTCATTAAAACATGATTTATACAATTTTCAAGCAAGGATCACCATAGAAATCTGGCAGTGTTACAAAATTCAGGATTTATGTTGAAAAAAAACTTCTTATAGAGAAGGGTAAGCTGCAGTTATGCACTCAAATCCTATTGACTTTCAGAGGCAGTAGGCACCAGTTGCTACTTGTACCTTTAGAGTCCCTCAAGACTGCCTAAGACTTTTCTCTTTTTCTTGAGAAGTCTCTTCAGCAAAACTGAGATGTTCAAAACCATATACCAATAATGTGGGGCTCACAGAAAGAACAGTGTGCAAAAACAGTGAGGTAGAAACTTTTCCTCTAGGTTCTTTTTCTTTTTTTTGGGGGGGGGGGCTGGAACATTAGAAATGACACAAAGAAGCGGCCATATATACAACATGCACACAGTGCACATACTGCACAATATATCTTGTTGCAGACAACCTAATCCATGCCAAGTAACAATTTATAATGTAGTGGCAGTGGGAGAAATAAGGAGAAATAATGTGCTAACTGGACAAAATCGTTCAGACCCTTAAGAAAAAATATTTAAAATGTAAGCTTGTGTTACATTTGAAAAATAGTCAGATACTAATTACTGAAAACAATTTATTCAGGAAGCAAGGACTTTTAAGGACTGAAACTATACTCAACATAACCTAAAACTTTGCTTTCGTCATGTGCTTGATTTAATGTGCTCTGCTCATGCAGCAAAGTATTACATGGCTCGGTGGAGCAAATTAAAGCACCAATTTGGCACATAATTTTTTATTTCCATTTACCTAGCTACAGGTTAGAAAATGCCTGTGTGGAAGGGCAATCCAGTGTCTGTTTTGTAGCATGACCAGTTCTAGCATAGGACTCATCTGGTATTTGGGCTAAGACTGGATCATACGAAAACAAGATAGATATTATTATTATTATTATTATTATTATTATTATTATTATTAAGAACACAAAAATATTTAGGCTGCTAAAATAGCAAAATAATTCAGGATTATAATTTGAAATAACTCTCCATAAATTAACTGTACCTATTCCAGAAATCTCACTAGCTGAACTTTAAAAGACTGTCCTGTGTGATTATATTTAACCTGCTCTGGGAGACTTGCGGGTGGGGGGAGACGAGTGGCATAAAAATACTTAAAATGCATGAATAAATGAGATCAATTTCAAAATATAATGAATTTGGGTTATTTTCAAAAACTTAGTTCAAAACTTAAATCTGGACAACATGAAAAAACAGCCTCTCCTCATTTCCTTTAGAACAGGCTATATTCCATTTCTTTAACAAAACCCTTCTTTTAAAAAGCCCCTTTGTTGTTACCCTTTTGATAATTCAGGCTCTGATACACAAATCTTAGATTATCACTGATAAAACAGAATGGAGACTATTATAGTTGAATAGCTTTTTAGTGAAGCAATGGCCACCTCCATACCTGGTTCTTTTCGACCTGGTTTTTCAAACCGCCTGTCCCCCCTAAAAAGAAAAAAAACAAATTGACAAAAGCATTTGGAAACATTTCAAATATAATACCTTTATTTTTCAAGATTGATAAAGCAGACTGATTTAATATTACAAGACCAACATATTGAAATGATTAATTTTTATTAATTTATTTACTTAAATGTACTCGCTTCTGGACAGTACATTCATACAAATCTAGATATCAGAACAGATACAAAAACACTCAGAAGATTAACCTGTTTTGTGTTTCTAAATCTGTTAATTTTTCTGATATACCAAGGTAAGTTGCTTATAAAAATATAAGCAACTTGAAAAGGACTTAACTGATTAATACTTGTCTGCAACAAAAATACAGCTATTTCAGGGGATAAAATCAAGGATTTCACCTCTAAAAACCACAATTGTTTTTGAACAGCTGACTATACCAAGTCAGAAATTGCCTTTGAAATTCATTTTCAAAGGCCCTGCCGTGAAGCAGGAATCAGCTGTTAAGACCAAAAAAAACCTAAAATCATTTTAGATTCTTAGTACTGCTTCAGCAGTTCTTTAAATATTGGCATGAATCTTTTCTGTAATTTTTGATATCTAATCAAATAAAATCAGGTTTAATTATTGCTTGTTCTCTTGAAAAGCATTTAGGAAGATACTAATTCATGATTTCATACAAACCAATTATAAGGGTTGATATTTTTCTAACTTGGCTTTTAAATTCATCTATACTATCCAAGATAATCCTCCTTTTGGTTGCTAGTTTAAGTGATTTTCTAGCCAGTACTTCTTACAGAAAAACTGATTGCTGGCTTTAGCTATCATAATTCCACATGGAATACTAAGGTCAGTTCACATATTAAACTAGTTTGCTACTGAGTGTACTCTCAATGAGGAGCTGCTAGCAATGCCAGCTTTCTGACTTGCCTGCTTGATTTATTTATCTCAACTCATGAATCATCCCTATAGCCAAAGCTGTTGGACTGAGGTACATAAAAACAACATAAAACAAAATGCAATAGTATACCTGTACTACACACAGGTTCAAAGCCTGCGTTGGTCACAGCCACTTATGATTTTTAATACACACCTAGAAATACAGGTGTGACAATTCCAGTAAAAACATGTATTTTTAAAAAGCCAGGATTCTATCAGGATAGGTAATTATTCTCAGCAATACAATAGTTGAAAACCATTTTAACACACATATTTTAACATATAACAAATTACCTTTCCTCCCAGCTCTGTGATCTGTGCATTTCTCTGCCCCCTCCTCGGCCAAATCCACCCTCCACATCATCAAAACTTCTTTGGTAGAAACCACTTTCTCCTCGACCTCTGCCTGAAAGATAAAATTGTGTTTATCTTATAATTGCCTTTGGAATCATTATGACTAATAGTAATATGCGGACGTTGCCAGAAGTGAATAGAAACAATTTTAATTTAAGGAGTTTAAATTTCAAATAGAAATTGAAATCTCTTCCATTCTACATAAAGAACGGGTTTAGAGCAAAGTAACAGACTATACCCTTATTTTAAAAGCCCACAGAGTAGAGGGTTTTCCCTCCTCTGGCAGCTTGCTTGGTTTCTATGGCTGATACAGAGGAGAGAGTGAGCACTCAGCCTGTCAGCTTGCTCATGCATCTGCATACAATTCCTTGTCCTCTGTACCATCAGGCAAGTGGCCCAATATTAATATGACAGGCAACCATTGGCCCATGGGTGGAATTTGACCTACAGAGAAACAGGGATAGGTTTGAGAGTTCTTGTGCTATTGGCCCCATTATGACTATCTATTTAATTTTATTTGAAAAATCACCATATTATATACCCTCATCTCAAATAATTATTTTAAAATAAACTGAAATGGTTTATTCTTCTCTTGCATACCATATATTATTCTATTTTATACCAAGAAACAGCTTCAGCTGAGCTACATATGAAAGGAGGAAATCATGTGTGCAGTTGGTTGGCAAACACAAATGCAAGATGCAGGAGCATGAGAAACAGGGGTTTCCGCAGTCAGATTAATAACTGAATAAAACTATTTTCCCCCTCTTTTTAGATGGCTGGGCAAATATTTTATTTAATTTGTAGTTTTGTTTTGCTCTGATGCTTAATTTGCAGTGCAAGTTTTAAGATGACTGTGCTGGCTACTGAGAAGAGAAACTGTTATTTCTCCCTTTGTTGCCATCTGTGAGTAGCTTGTATCTTCTCCTTATTTTTACACCATTCTCTATCCTATTTTAGGATACCTCTTACCTCAGCTCCCCACTACAAAGCCACTTCAGTTCATCTTCTGATACTAAGGAAAAGATCCTATAACTCCTAACCTTCATCTGGGGGGCACAGGATCATTGAGATTCCCAGCTCCAAGGTCAGACAGCACTCCAACCCCAGAGTTATGATTCCTTCACCCAACCCTCTAGCAGCCAGCATCAGTGTGCCAGTTGCTTTTTGAGGCTGAAAAAATGACCTCAGAGAGAGTTAAAAGGTGGCATGGAGGAGACAGAGGTGCCAGGATCTTGAGGTATCTTGGGGTCATTCCAGCCTCCTTCCTTTCTTGCTGAAGTACCCCCGCCAGAAAGACCAAAATGCCTGTCTGGCAAATAAGCAGAGCAAGAGGAGCAGGGAAGCAATGACTCAGCAAACTATGTCTGAATTTGGGGACTTCTGGCCATCTTGATTGGATTATGTTCTAAGTCCATGAATACCAGTTGAACATTAGAAGAAGAGGATGGAAAATGTGTATAGCAGCCTCAGCTTCTCTTATACTAGAAACACAGCCTATAACTTGATGTGATTTAGTGTAGGTATTTTTTAATGGCTTGTATTTTTTATTTGCACATTTTATGCCATTTTTCTTCCAAAGCAAAGCAGGTCATTTTAGATTACAAACCTGCAACATGCAAAGTGATAATACATGTGTACACGTAACATCTCACCTCGACCTCTAGAGGAACTTCGACCGCGAGGAGCCCCTACCACCGTTCCTCCTCCTCGTCCCATCAATCGTAGGACAGCAGCACTATTTACAGACATGGAGAAATTTCTCTGCAAAAAAGAGGATACAAGTGAGAGAAGCATTTTAAAAAAATAATAAAATCAGGCCTATTCTGGTTTCTTGCTCATCTCTATTATTAATGCAATTGAAAATACTTACAAAGATGCTTCCTGTCAAGACTGATAAAGCTAATGAAATATTAGCTGCTGAAGTAAAGGCTGCTGAAGAACTTAAGTATTTGGGTTCTTTTCACTCCATTTTCAAATGATCCAAATGAACTGTGTGATAGATTTCATTTCTCAAATATGACTGAGACTGTTTGGAAGAACTTTGGTTCAGTGGTAAGCATACAGAAAAGGGTTCGGAGTCAATCACTAAAGGACTAAAATAGCAATAGAGTGAAAGAACTCAGAATTAGACTTAGAAAGCTGTTGTCAGTTGGAATGAACATGAATTAAGTGGAGTAGATGCCTGGCTAAGTATGTGGCAACTTAGTATGTTTATCATGCTTGAAGTTAAGCAATCACTTTGGATACATGGGATGGAAGTACCTTAACTAATAAATGGTCTTCTATTCATAAATGGGCAACTATGAGCCAGTGTAGTATAGTGGCTAGGCTACTGCACTGGGGACCTGGGAGATCTGGGTTCTAATCCCCTTTTGGTCATGGAGCTCATTAGTTGACTTGAGCTCGCCGTTCACACTCAGCTTAACCTACCACACAAGGCTGATGTTGTGAGGATAAAATGGGAGTAGAGGATGAGTATGTCAAGCTGCCTTGGGTTCCTTGCAAGAGGAATATAAATTATTGATATATAAATTGAATATAAAACGGAGAGCCGGTATGGTGCAGCGGTTAAGAGAGTGTGGGTCTGGGACCCTGGGTTCTAGTAGTCTCTGCTCAGCCATGGAGCCAAGTGGGTCACTTTGGGCCAGTCCCAGACTCTCAATCCACCCTACCTCACAGGGCTGTTGTTGTGGGGATAAGACTGAGAACAGCAGGAGAATGATGTAATCTGCTTTAAATTCTTTAAAAAAGAAAAGGTGGGATATAAATCTAATAAAAATATAATATAATGACTAACTGCTTTATATGCATGTGTAATTGATTTGGATATCTTGAAACATATGCCCTTCTATTTAATCTGAGAAAGAAAAATCATACTTCTTCACCTTACAGGACTTCCATCTCATGTGTATGCAAGATGATTGCTCAATCTCCCTTATGGCAAAGAAGAATTGTTTTAGTTCTTCAAATTTAATAAAATGACTTCCATGTCAGGGTATCCAGATTATTTATACATACACCTCAAGCAATCAGATGCTCAGTTGATCAATACTGAAAGGCTTTCTAATATTTCCATGTTCTTCAAATTATTTTGTAAACCATAAAACTAGTTCAGACATCATGCTAAACTGTATTATAATACTACATGAACCAGCATGCTCCAGCACTTGCTCCTTCAGGGTACAATGAAGAGAGATCATACAGTTTGTCCCAGTATACAAATCAGGAAATGTACTTTTAAAAATATGGCTTATGAGAACAAGTCAGGACCAGAAATCAGAATCTGACTTTGCCTTGTTCCATTAAACCATGGTCTCTAATCCCATTTTGGCCTGGTTCATATACCCAGGTAGTTCCTATCTCCTTGCTGTCAAGGGAACAGAGTGCAGGAAGAGAAACCCACAGCTCATTCATGCAGCACTAAACTAAGGTTTAGCATAGGAATAGGCAACCTGCAGCCCTCATTCTAAATTGAAAAGCCCTCTGAAAACTATCAATTTAGACCAATGGCAAGAGTGATGTGTCTGCCTCGGAAAGCCACTGGACCAGATGGAAGAGGGAGAAAGCCCAACTGTTTTTGGCTCTGATCCCTCTAAGGCTGAATTTGATTTCTCTTTCTTAGACCTACTAGATTATCCCTGATGGTATGCAACACTCAATGGAAAACAGATCCTGCATCCCTGATTTAGGCATTACATTCAAACTGAGACACTGAATGTGAGATATAGGAAAATGTCCATAAGCTAGTTAAGGTATTATTATAATGATGCATAATTTTTTCCTGGATGGTAGCCCAATTCTTGCAGTATTGCCCTTCCCATTTCTTGATGCTTGCTATTCACCACCTTCTGCTTTGCTACTGCCAGAGTTCTTTTTAAATATTTTTACTGTGACAAATAAATGTATCCATATTTAAGTAAAATAATGTTAAATCCAGTAAGAATATGTAAACCAACCATGGAACAGCAACAACAAACCTCTGAACAGCTAACAAAAGGACATTAAGGGAAGGATTCTAGCTGAATATGCAAATGTTCTGAATTCTTCCTTTGTGTATGTGAATTTCAGAATCTCTTTCACATGAGCCATCCATCAACCTACTGTCATTTTGTTGTCTCCTGTCTATATTCCCCTACAGATTCTTGCTTAGCTGGAAGATCTTGAGGCTGAATGGGGATCCTGTGCTAAGCAATTCTGAATAGGGATCTGAACCCTAGACTTTGTCCAACACTGTATTCAAAATACCACACAGGTACTCTGGGAATTGACAAGTTCTGATGTGGTGCCATTAACTGCTTTTGTGTGTTGTAAGGCATGTCTCTTCTTTCTCCTCACAGATCTAAGGGAAAGGAAAGATGGGAGTTCCTGATTTTGGCACATACTGGTAGCATTCTACACTTACCTGATCTTCCTCTCCTCCCTCTATAGCAACAACTTCACTACACACATGCAAGAAGCAATGGTTATTCTGGAGCACTCTTTTGTCTGTTCACTCACTGGCAAGTTCAATCTTGCTCTCTCCTCACCAGTCAATTGACTTCTCTTGCCTGCTCCCCTAATATCCTCATCTCAATCCCCCTCACACTCCAGATTTCCTCTTCTCTTTCTTGTTCAAGAGAGTTGAGGCAAGCAGAAGATGCAAGAACAAAGGGGTAGCACTCATGCCAAATGACTTACCTCTACCAGCCTTGAGCCCCTATTTCCTATTGAATGCATTATTCATTGAGAATCTTCATTGGCACAAGAGTAATTACAGCATATTATTATATCAATATCTACTGTAGATGAACAGTTGGGCTGCAATTTTGCATTGAGAACATGCGTGGTCACAACAGTCTACACCTGAAACCAACTCCCTTGGACCCAAATGATTGTAATGATTTTTGGCCAGACTTTTTGTTCTCTTTTCTGGGCAAGGTGCTTAAGCAGGTGACCAGGCTTTACACTAGACACAGCTGCATGGCATGGACTGCATGAATCCATTTCCAGTCCAGCTTTCTACATTGTTATGACACAGAAACTGTCATACTCACCAGTGGACAACTTGTACTGATGGACTGATCAAAAATGAATTTGAAATGTGCTGATTTTTCTGGACATATTAAAAGTGCACAAGCTATTAAATATCTGCAGAAATCTACTGGGTAAGGTAGCCTGCGGATCTGAGGTATAGAGCCATGATTAAGTGGATGATATGTGACACTTTTTAAAATCGGGTCCAGATGTGGTAGTAAGCTTATTGAACAAATATCTGGGCGCAGTAATGAACTGGATGAGGACTAACAAACTGAAGCTCAATATAGGCAAGGCAGAGGTACTGTTGGTAGTATTTATCAGATGACAGAAACAGTATGCAACCCATTCTGGGTGGAACTGTACTTCAGCTGAAGGAGAAAGTTTGTGGTACTTTTAAAACAAGCCTTGTCTAACTAAACCCCAAAGCATCCTTCCCCAGCTGGGGCCTTTTTGCCACATTTAGCCGTTTTGACTATCTTGGCTTAGTTGATTTTAATGGACCTGTCTTAGAAGTGTACCTGAAAACTGAAGCTCATGCACATTACTGTAATGTGATTGAAAAGATGCAACTGCCTCAACACACATTTTATACTGAGACTGAAAGAACTACAGCTCTTTTTCAACATGTTTCTGTTCAACTCCATGATTTGGTTTTGATTAATAAGAACCCAAAACTGTTTTCAGAGTATCTAGAAAACATCTTCCACCTATATGAATATGCCTGCACCCTGAGATCCTCAGAGGTTCTGTTCTGGTTGGCTTGCCTTCAGTTACTAGAGAATTAGCTAATGAAAGCATGAGGTAGTTTCCTAAGCTTTCCACACACCAGCAGCAGCCACTACTAGTATAAGAGGTATTAGTGGTTTCTGTTAAAATCCCCTGAAACAAACAAATTCTTGTTTCCAGAATAATGCTGGTCAGGAAAGCTCACAGAAGAAACCTTCACTGATCTTCCTCAATACAGAAGAAATAATTCTGTTGTTATTTCAGGATTTGCTCACTCAACTTGCACTATCAGTGGGTCCCACTAAGCAGAGGCACAATGGAAGTCTTTTCAATTCTACCAAGCATAGTATTCTTCTTTAGTATCCAGTGGTAGTACTTAATTCTCTTGAATCATCCCATCAGAATGAGTATTTACTGCTGCTGGATTATTATTATTATTATGATTAGGGTTATTATTAAATTTATAGTTTTCTGATGGTTTTAGATCTTCTAACTGTGAACCTCATTCGACAATTAACTGGTAACACAGGAAACAAATGTACTCAACAATAAAATAAACATTATCTTCACAATACAGAAAGTGAGCATAAAATAAGCAAATCCCTTTGCAAGTTATCCTCAGGCTTAATATATTTGAGAAAAAGGAAAAAGGGGGACTTCTAAGTCTGAATAGCTAATTTCAAAATTGTATTTCTAAGGTTTCTCTTATGTTACCAGTATGCTGAAATAAGAAAAACACATACTTCTTAATATATGAGAATGATGCTAAGAACTCCCTGGATCATACTGTACTTTAAGTACAATATACTTAAAACTCTTTTATAATCTGATCCTAAGATTTGCTGAGCCACAGCCAATGTACTGAGAATAAGGCAGTATCTATTCCACTTGCACATCACATAGCAGAGGTGGCCAGACTTGCTCAATAGAAAAGCCACATATGGTATACGTCAGATAATTGAGAGCTGCAAGCAGGCAACAACAGAAGGTAGTGGTGGGTGGAGAGTGGCAAACAGATGGTGGGGGCAGATGGCAAGTGGGACCCCGCAGAAGCTCCCAGCAGTGAATGGCAAGCTGCAAAATAAACTCAAAGAGCCACATGCAGGTCCTGAGCCTCACTTTGGCCACCCCTGGCATAGTATTAAGTTGGCATGACACTAACATAACAGAGAAAATGTTTCCTAACTAAAATGCATCCCTCTCAATTTTCTAGCCTTGTTTAATCAATCAAGTTCAAGGCTTAGGGAAAAAAATCTCATATTCAATTGTTTAGAAACCAACCTGTTCTTCTTCTGTAAAAGGTACTAATGCCAAGGGTGGTAGGGGCTCCTCTTGTAGAATGGGCAGAAACTCCTTATCCAGAAGGTCTGAAGGTATCTAAAAGAGATAAGGGGTCAAGTAGTGGAGAAATAAGCACCAGCCTCACCTTAGAAAGCATACAGCTCTCGATCAGTACTTATTCCCTGTGTTAACTTATAAAGCATTAAAACAAAAAAATAAAATAATTAAGGAAAGCAAGAACCAGTAGGAATGTAGGGACAAGACCCTAGTCTAGTAAAGGCATGGCCATTACAATAAATTACTGTAGGGAAATATGAGTTTTCATCTAGATTAAAACATGGTTTCATATTCCTTTAGAAACTCAGTATAACTATAAAAATCATTTGCTGTAAGCCAGGATATAGAACTGATGAATGTACTCAGTAATTTAGTTGAAAGCTCTTTAGTGAAGCCAATGTTCTGAAGGAATTAGTAGTAGTTATAGCAAAGTAGTCAATGGTGGTACGGCACTAATAATGTTGTGCAAGTAAAGAAAATGCTAGTGCAATATGATTAGCTCTTGCTAAGGCCAGGAGGAAAAGGCACTTGACAGTCAAATTTGACAGGCATTTGACTGGCACAATACCATTAGACCTCGTTAGTGAAAAGGAAAACACTGCAATTTGCTGCCAAAATTCAGTGGCTCCACTTACTTTCAGTAGCAAGTCACTTTTGCCCTTTGCACTAGCAAGCTCTAATGATGTTTACACTCACAAAACATAATTAGTGTTAGTGCGGCACCACCACTGGATATGACCTATTAAGATTTTGAGATTATTACTAGACACTGAAGAGCATCTCAGAGATACAATATATTCAGAATTTTGCATGGATCTTCCTAATTTTTTTTCAATCTCTTCAAGCTGCTGAGTGTGTGTGCGTGTGTGTGTTGAACTTTCAAAATATGTAGATACAGTAATACAAATTGCCTGGATTAACATTCTTTTAAAGTACTAAGAGAAGGAGTCAATGGCCCCTAAATAAAGTCTGAAGGAACACAGGATAGCTTATTCACAGATTAGAGGCTGGAGACAATGCTTTTAACTCAAGAGCTGGGAACTGGAGCTTCACAGCCTACACTGAAATAACTATGATAGCTGTTCTCTGAGGTAAGAAACTCAAGCTCAGACAAGGAGAGAAGGGGTGTATGTGGGGCCAGGACAGGAAGAAGTATGGAAAAGCCAGGATATGAGGTATCCTGCAGCTGCTCTAGCCTCCCTTACTCCTCCCACTCTGCACTGGTTACCTGTAAAGCTCCACATTTGGGAGAATCCCAATATGACTGCCCTTAGTGGTTTAATTATTTATGTTTGTGATTTTTAACTCTAGGAATTTTTTCCTTTATTTTCTATAGCATTGTATTGTTTGTAACAACTCAAGGACTTTCTCCTACTTTGCACTAGTGTGCACTTAACACTATGAATGAATTTGCCTACAATCAGATCTATACCTTCCTCTCACTACTTACCTTATTATCTTTCAGGAAAAGTGCTAACATTTCTTCCCTCCCATAACGATAATCTGCTAATTTATACTTTGGCAAAGCTGGAGAGAGAGGAGGAGATGTCACACTCCCACCACTAGACAGAGCTCGAAGCCTACAGTAGAAAAAATAAAGGAAAAAAATCAGTTATTTATACATGCTTGCTCAAGTCAGGACTATGCACCTATAGACTAAAGATCTCAAACATTAGCTAAAGAAAAATATGTTAAAATAGGTTCTGCTCAAAATCATTTTGCATAGAAGATTTTTAATGCAGTGGTCATAGTTTTCATATGAAGTTCACATCCATGGAATCAGTAATTATTTGAAGTTTGAGTTCACTCAGGATTTTACTATGAACTAACCTGTTGTTCTGACTCAGTTCTAATCAGGCCAATACAAGTTTGGTAACCACACCAGCACATTTAAACCATTCATATTCCCATTCTTGGTATGACTATAAATTACACAGGCAGTCAGGTGGTTCACCACTGTAATATTGCAGGCCCAGCAGCACTTGGCACTCTAAAATATATCCTAAGTTCCAAGTGCCTCAGAAGATCTATCAAGGCCAACACAGATCCTTATTGAATTGTTAAACCCTAGAACTTGAAAGAGCACCACTTTGAAGCTTCTGCCACTTTAATGTATGAAGAATGCCCTTGAGACATGCAGAAAAGCCAGAAACATTCAGGGCTAAGTAAGATGATACTGGCTCCAGTCACACAGCATGGTGCTCTTCCCCACAGTGCTACAAGAAGTAGAGCTCCTTCCCACCTGTTTCACTACCCATCAGGACTGCTGTCATCACCTGTTTCTACTATTGACTAGTGCTGAGAGAAGTTGCTGCAGCCTGGGAAGCTCATTAGGAGGTCAGAACAATGGTAATGGATGAATTACTGGGAAGGCTGCTTGCCCAAGATCCCCTGAAAGCTGCAGGCATCAGCACTGTGGTATTATATTGTGCTCTTAAGATAATATGAATAAAACACACTAAAAAGGAAAGCTTACAACTTGCAGAGGTTAGTTTAATATAAGGAGGGGGAAAAGGCCACAGCCTGGATTCAAACAACTTTGCCAGCTTAACAGAACCTTGGGACTTGCTTTTCTAATAACAGTAATCTTACAGCCATGCAGCACAGCAAATGTCTTCTGGATCTTAAGAGGAGATTCAAAAGCTCCTTGTTATGTAGCACTGGAAGCATCCTATGCTCCATTTGTAAGTCAGTAAATTCTCTACCTACAGAAAAATTCCAGTCAAAGAACCAATCTGCTGAGGCTGAATTATTTGATATTAACAAATGTAATGTACTTAGAATGTAAACATTTAAATATATATTTCCACATTCTCTGGCTCACTCACCACGCATTTCAAAGTTAGCAAATTCTCTCTATCTCAGGAATTTGTAGCTAAGATCCTTCAGAGTCTGGCCTTGGACAATGAGAGGCTACTGTACTCTGCAATGATGGGGACCTTGAAGGCTTAACTATCACAGATAAAACTATCAGACAACTCATTGTTTAGGAAAGAGCTACATATATAGACCTTTTATGTCAAAGGTTAGGATGAAAAGCTTTCAACAACATCTTTTAAAAGTTACAGAGACTAGCTGAGCATGCAGGAAGCATTCCATGAGGCACAGAAATGCTATCCTTTTCCCTTCCTTTGCCAGGCTGTTTACCTTCACAGCCTGTTCTACAGTGGATTGCAGCATTAAAGCAGCAGGCTTCCATCCTGCCTGCTGCTTCCTAGCTCTTGAAGAAGGAAAAGTATAGAAGCCTGGACAAACTCAAAATGTATGAAAATCCCCCATGTAATATGTTCTTGATTCATTCTGACTGCGGACTGCACACATACTATCACTCTTATTCTGAACAAGTTATTTAAATTATTGCAGATGGAGTGGGCTGATCTGATCTGGCTGAACATTTTCAAATAATAGCATGGTCTTTGGGAAAATATAGGTGCACTGTGGCCTTTATTTCAATTCAGGTTCTGTTCAATTCCTTGTCACATATGTGAGTGTATTTTCTAATGTTTTGCCTTATTTTAAAGCACATGATATAACTTAATACAAACAAAATTGATACTTTATTTAGACAATACTCCACAAAGTGGCTTAAGGAACTGGAAACCTGTCACAGGCTATTGTGCCCCCTCTCCATGCATGGATTACCGTTTGCATTTTGAAGCTATTCCAAAGTTCCAAAGTATAAATAATGAAATTTGTATTAACATCCAAATTGGGCAACTCTAATTAACATAAAATATAATGAGTATGAGTGTAGTATCTCAGTGAAAGGGAAATGGAGGACTGCTAAGACATAAATTGCCAATTCACACAAGCAAAATGGGTCACAACAATGTGAGTTCCTCTGCCAACATGCCATACTGTCAGGTTAAGACAATACGCCATGCCATGTCATGGCCAGGTGGTGATTATGGAAATTGCAACTCGCACATGCTGACTTAAATAAGCTATTGTGACTTAATTACACTTTGATGCGTGCTGGGTAGCTTATTTTGATCATGTGAACCAAGTATGGCTTCATTTATTACTTGGTTTATATATTTTATAGACTGAAAAACCCAGAATTACATATTGGACCTAAGGACACTGCTGCTGCTGTTTGCAAGCAGTGGCCACTGATTAAGTATTTTGGTTGGTTTCCCTAGAAGTGTATACTACAGTTTAATATAATATTTTAAGCATAATTCAGATGAAACTATGTTTTTAAAAGGTGACTTAACTTGAAGTTCAATATTTGCCCACACTAACTGTTTTTACAAAACTAAGCTGGATCCAGGTTTAGCCATGCTTAACGTAGATGCCCAGGTAAATCAGTGGAACTTTAAATTAGTTGGGACTATTTTACTCTAAGCATTTACTCTATGATAGTTAGACAAATTATCTGAAGCTCAGCCTCCTTACAGGTACTTAACAAACGCCAGAGATAAGTAAAGGAAAACCAGCACACTCATACTGTTCCAGTGGCTCTATCCCTATTGTTATTTCTTAGGAGAACGGAAAGCTGCTTAAAATGCAGAATAGTCTCTTGTTACTTTGCTGCCACCCTGTGGCAGCTGGTGAATTACATTTGAATAAATGTTCATCATGTGAATAACCTTCCATTTTCACATTCAACTGAAGATGAAACTCAAATACTTTGGCCACGTAATGAGCAGGAAGGACTCCCTGGAGAAGAGCCTAATGCTGGGAACAACTGACGGCAAAAGAAGAAGGGGACGGGATGGCAGAGGATGAGGTGAATAGATGGAGTCACTGAAGCAGTGGGTGTGAGCTTTAACTGGACTCTGGGGGATGGAGGAGGACAGGAATGCCTGGAGGAGTGTTGTCCATGGGGTCGCAAAGGGTCAGATACAATTTTGCAACTAACAACAAACAATCTGAATAGAGCGTGAAAGAAAGCATGAAAAGCAGCAAAACAAGAATCTCAGAATCTCTACATTAATGTATGAAAAAGTACTATTCTTAAAACAGTTGTCCTCAGTTTTAACACAAGATTGCTTTACTGCCCAAGCCTGAACAAATCACCCTACAGTTCTCCAGAAGACAGATAAAAGTATATTTTTGAAACAGTGCAGCATTATTTGCCTTTGCCCATTACAAGTGTATTATTTTATACTGATTTGCTAAATAATTGGAATCCTAGATCCTAGATCATAGAATAGTAGAGTTGGAAGGGGCCATGAAGGCCATTGGGTCCAACCCCCTGCTGTTGCAGGCTACCAGTTTACACCATTTCACTCAGGTGGCTGGCCAGTTTCCTTTCGAATATCTGTAGTGTGGGAGAGCCCACCACCTCTCTAGGCAGCTGGTTCCACTGACGTATTGCTCTGAAAATGAAGAAACTTTTCCTGATATCTAGCCTGAATCTGGGTTGCTGCAATTTGAATTGATTATTCCTACACTCTGCTATCCGTGAGAAGATATCTTGACCTTCCTCTTCGTAACAGCCTTTGAGGTACTTATAGATAGGGATATCATGTCCCCACTCAGTCTTCTCTTTCCAAGTCTGAACATGCCCAATTTTCTCAGTCTCTTCTCACACACAATGCAGTGTTTCCAAGCCCTGGATAATTTTTGTTGCCCTCCTCTGGACCCTTTCTAATTTTTCTGCATCTTAGACCTAGGTGGAGGACTTGGCACTTCTTGAACCTCATTCTGCTGCTTTCAGCTCAGTGTTCAAGTTTTATCAAGACTGTCCTGGATCTTCATTCTGTCTTCTAGGGTGTTCGCTATTCCAGTCTGTTTTGTATCATCTGCAAATCTGATTATCTTTCCTTGTACTTCCTCATCTAAATCATTGATTAAAGTTTTGAAGAGCATTGGTTCCAGGACTGAACCCTGCAGCACCCCACTAGTTACCTCCATCCAATTTGAGAAGGTGCCATTGATGAGCAGTCTTTGTGTCTGATTTAGCAGCCAATTTTGGATCCATCCAATAGTTTTTCTACCTAGTCCAACTTTTGCTCAGAATGTCGTGGGACACTGTCAAAGGCTTTGCTAAAGTCTAGGTAGATTGTGCCCACAGTGTTCCCTCTGCCTGTTTGGGAAGTTACCCAGTCAAAAAAATGAGACTAAATTAGTCTGACAGGATTTATTTTTGATAAATCCATGTTGGCTTCTAGTAATCACTGCGTTTTCTTCAAGATGCTTGCAAACAGATTTTTTAAAAAATTTGCTCCAGAATTTTTCCAGGGATTGATGTCAAACAAACTGATCTGTAGTTTCCAGGTTCATCTTTTCCCCCTTTTTGATGATAGGGACAACATTAGCCCTTCTCCAGTCGAATGGCACTTCTCCTGTTTTCCAAGATTTATCGAAAATAATAGCCAGAGGTTCGAAATGTTCCTCCACTAGCTCTTTTATGACTCTAGGGTGGAGTTCATTGGGCCCTGGAGATATGATGTTTATTCCATCTAGGTATTCCTTGACCATTTGCCTGGCAATCTTGGGCTGCCATCTCTCACTTTCAGCTTGTTCTTCCTCTTGGTTGTAGATTTTCTTGTGGGAGAAGACTGAGGCTAAGAAAGAACTGAGCACCTCCGTCTTTTCCTTCTCATCTAATATCACTCTGCCATCCATTTTAAGTAGCTGGACACCTTTCTCTTTCACATGTCTTTTGTTTTGGATGTATCCGAAGGCAGCTTTCTTGTTGTTCTTAGCATGATCGAACAATCCCTCACACAGATACAGTGCAGCTACTGAAGCTGCAATCTGAAGTGCAAGACCAGCAAAAAATGGAAAAAATGGAAAGTGGGTGGACAAGAGGAACATGTTCCCCTTGTATCAGTTTCCCACAAAAATCGACGTGCACATGTAGTTGCTTTCACTTTTGCAAAGGAAAAACCAGATGTACCAGATCTTCCTTCCAGCAGGACTACAAGCAGCATAGGAGTGCAGGCACAATTTTCAGTGGACAATGCAATGCTTCTCTCCTCTTGTGCCAGCAACTGCAGCAGTTGCCTTTTGTAGAAATAAAAATGCATACATGCTTAAAAGCCTCCACTTACCTGCTTTACCCCCTCCCTCCTAATTGCAGACAATGTCAGAGATAACAGGGCAGGTAAATAGGTAGTTCACTTTGCTTCCAAATAAAACAAGTGTATTAGTTCAAAGGTGAATGGACAACAGCAGAAGCCATAGCTTCTTCACACCTTCCTTCCAAGGCAAAGCATAGTTCATATACTAGTGAGCAAAAGTATTGTTTGGAATGGGTTTTTAATTATAGTTACAGGGAATCTGGTTTGTGCTGTTGCTTATATAATGCAAGGCCAGGTTTTATAGGAAAAGAGGTGGGAATTTACTCCAGAAAGAGGAGGAAGGAGTATGAATTCCTGATTTTCAAACCACGGTTTGCATTTGCAGGGAGCCAGCATTACATCTTCACCAGGTCAATATGTTTATTAGTAACAGATGGAACAAAATAGCAGAAGGAAAATATCCTGTTGAACTGCAAAATATTTATCTTTTGGATAACATGTTGTAAAGTATGCAAGTTTTCCATGAAATAAATATTAGAAATACAACTCTTTAAAGTTTACGACATGATGTTCATTAGGGAACAGTGTATAGTTCATCTACCTCAAGGCAATTCTAACAACAGTATTTTTATTGTAAGGGATGGCAATCTAATTGGATCAACAATGGTAACCTTTTTCCACTGTGCCCCTGGAGACTCACTGAAAGATGACCATAAGCCTCAAGATATGTAGTAAGTAGAGTGCCATTCCATTTTAACTAAATCTTACTACAACTGGGATATGCCTTACATGAGGACTTTGTACATACAATCTATAAGAAAGACAGCAGGAACCCCATTCAGAGTAGCAGAGGCATCCCAGAGATCATTATCTCTATGCTGTTTATGCTTATAAGAAAAAGTGACAATGAACAACAAAAAGCGTCCCCCAAAGCAAATCTTCTCTGCATAGTTAGTTCTCCAGGTCAAAAGCAAGGAACAACCAACAACTAGATCAATGTCAATGTTTCTTCAATGCTTCTTGCTCTCAGAATCAATTATCAGTTTTTCTCAAAAAGAACAAACCAGAATTATTTAGTTAATATTGTTCACATTATTATGAATTGTTTAGTCATCTGGAGGAGCATGCACATATACTGGCTCCTGACTGTTCCTGGGGCACCTCTATATGAATCCAGAATTTTGGATTATTGAGGGAAAATCCCAGAGTTTGGGTCTATGGTTCAAACTCTGAGTTATAGTCCCTCAGCAATCCAGAGTTCTGGCTTTCCATGTCATGTAGAAGCAGGTAAATATTCAGGAGCCGACAAACTCACTTGATCACTAACAATCCATGGAAAATAAACTGGGTTGTTTGTTGCATGTGAACTGGGCCATTGTGTAATTTATTCTAGTATGTCCCTTTCCACAAAATTTTGGATTTCTTTAACAGTATAAGAACAGGATTCTGCTTCTTAATTAAAGGCAGGGATATAATTAACCAACTGAACCCAAAAAGCTAGTCGGACAATTCAAGCACTCCTTCCTATCCACTGCTTGAAGTTATATTTCTTAATGAAAATCCTGTGGACACACATATCACAGAAAACTTACCATTCAGGCCCAAAATTAAGCGTCTGTGTTTCTGCTGCCATTTTTTTAAGTATTAACCTGCAATATAAAAAGAATCATGAATCAGTAATCTTATTTTAACTAATAAAAAGCTAAACTAGATCCTCCAACACGGATTCCCAGCTGCATCAGCACCCAGAGTTGACACTCCCAGCTGAACAGATCAGAGAGTGGGGTGTGTAGTTCTTCCTCCCTCTTGGAAAAAAAGGAGAAGAGGCTGCACTCTCAGATATGAGCATTAGTGGACACTGACATGTGAAGGGAAAGCTGCTAGATTCTCCCTACAGCCCTAATTCTACATAATTTCCTAAAAGCTTAACAAAAATACAGCGATCCATAAGCTGTGTTGGAGATAGCATATGAGTGGAAAAGAAAAGAATGGAAGACAGCATTCTTTCAGGGGACACTCCCCTTTTTTAATGGTCAGTGTGGTGCCCATGTGTCCCTGTATGAAAAAGTCACTTTAAAAATGAGGAGACATGCTTTTGCCTGAAAAGAAATAAGACAATTCAGAATGGTGTCTCTGAGTACTGCAGCAGGCAGACAGCAGGGCAGAGAGCAGGAAACTCTAAGGTAAATGTTTGGGGCAGTTTGGTATGCTTCTCTGCTGCTGGAAAACAACACCAAGTATACATGTGCAGGAAAGTAGAGAAGCTGAAAGAGGATGGGAGCAGAGAGCAGCCTGTAGGAGCAAGGCAGGCACTGATGCATCTCTCACTAGACAGAGCAGGATAGTAGAGGCTGGAGAGCAGCTGTATTCCACAAGAATGGAAACCATGATGGTGCATTCATAGAGTTATTCTAGAGCGGGCTGCAGAACCTGTTTTCATTAGGAGAAGATTCTGGAGGTTGAGCTCTGAGATGATGGATGGAGCCAAAGGCAAAAGAAGTTGAAAGAAAAAAACACACACACACACAAACCAAAATTCTAACATATGTTAGCTTAAAGCCTTGCTTGCTTGCTTCTTACTTGCTGAAAGAGACACTTCAATCTTACAGAATGAGAAAAAAATGCACAAAAGTCACAAAATCACCACATTAATGGTGGTTGGAAGAAAGGGGAGTGGGGCCACCTAAGGAAACCCGCAAGGACTGGACTGGGATTACTGGAGGGCTAAATTTGGTATGCGAGATTTGAGGTTCTGCAATCCTGCTCTAGAGAATCAAGTAGCCTACTGCCTAAAGGATCAGGATCATTAGCCTTGATGGACATTCCTCTAGTGGGAAGCCTCTCTCAAGATAAAATTCCTCTCCCAAAAAGTTATCTTTTCTCTGGAGGAGTGACTGCCCCTTCATTTAAAGAATGGAGAGGGAGAAACAGAGAATGTGCTCCCATTCAAGACTCAGTTTCCCCTTATTCTTTGAAAACTCTCAACTTCTCTGAATATTTTTTGCAGTTGACATGTACAGCTTAAGTAAGTCTTTCTTCTATGTTTTAGTGAACACCACAGTTTAATGATTGTTACATTTTGATTAATTTTCTGAGGACCGTAATAAAAAAGCACTTAGTTGTACCCATGCATTATATACCATATCCATATATATACCATATCCCATGTGTTGGGCTACAACTCTTATAATCCCTTTCAGCATGGCTAAGAGCCACACTGACTGGAGATGATGGGAATTATAGTAAAACAGATCTAGTGTGCACCAGGTTGGGGAACCTTGGCATACACTATCACCCAGCTAGGAGATATTGTATATTCACAGCAAACAATGTTTATACTCAATACCACCAGAAGCAAAACTCACAATGCAAGACCCACCTCACCGGCAACAGCTACTAGGGCAGCAATTAGAGACAAACACAGTCCTTTGAATGAAGAAGAGCAAATCACCTATCTCTACAGAATGCTCATGAGAACATGTACCTAGAAATAAATCATTGCATCCTTTTCCCAGAAAGAGTATACACCTTCTTAGTAGTCATATATATCCTAAAACCAGAGGAGGCTCACAGCCAATTTGACTGGTGGGGCAGAGGACTGATCAACAGAAGCTGAGCCAATGGGGTCACATGAGGTAGCGCAGTCTCTGAATCTCCATCCACCAGCAACCCATAAGACATAAAGAGAAAACTGGGGAACACAGGAACATGTTTTCTTCAGTTTTCCCTTGCTTACAGTCAAAGAAAATCACTCCTTTGGATACAAATTCTCGTGTTCCAACAACAGCATCTCTTCTACAGAGATTTAAGTGCTTAAAAATAAGTGAACATGGGCAGTGGAGAGAATTCAAGTTTCTACACAAAATAATGATGCTGCCACTGCTAATGATGATGTTTTATGATGCTATCTTTAGAATCATAAAACCAAGGTCATTCGTGTAGAAATGTAAACTTCTTCTGCATACTTCACAGCCCCAATTGTTTCCCTAGGCCTAAACAAACAAACAAGCCCCCACCACCAACAGTCTAGCTAACAACCCTGAATTACACTGCAGTGATGCCATTCATTACACACTTTCCCAAAAATATTGGGGTATCAATCACGGACTACTCCATAACTACAATCACACAAAACTGCCCCCACACAGCAGTTCTTCTTAGGACCCACATCTTCTGGTTCTAGCAGCAATTACCATTGCACAGATTGGATTATTGGATTGGAATTTAAGACCATGAGTAGTAGGGGGAAAACCACATAGTCGTGGGGCTGCCCTTGAAACAGTCCAGATACGTCAGATGGTTCAAAATAGAGCTGCCAGGATGCTGTCAGGGACTGGGCGTTATTCTCATATAACCCCAGTCCTCTATCAGTTCCATTGGCTTCCCATCAAAGTCCGGGCTCAATTTAAGGTGCTGGTTATTACCTATAAAGCCCTAAATGGCTTGGGACCAGGATACCTAAAGGAACGCCTTTTTCCCTATTTGCCCTCCCACCCACTGAGATCAGCAACAGAAGCCCTCCTCCAGGAACCCTCTGTGAAAGATATTAGGAGACAGAGTACCCGGAGGAGGGCCTTCTCTGCGGTGGCGCCCTGTCTATGGAATGTGCTCCCCAGAGAGGTCCGCCTGGCACCGTCATTATATGTTTTTTGGCACCAGGTTAAGACCTTTTTATTTAATCAATATTTTAATAAGTTTTAATATTGAATCGTATTATTGTATTTTATTAATTGCAGCCAGAGTGGGTTGTCAATTTATTTATGCTGTTAGCCGTCCAGAGACGTTAGTAACTGGACGGCATACAAATTTTATAAATAAATAAATAATAGTTGCACATCAATCAACAACTATAATATCAGAGGCAGACAGAAAAGCAGTCCTTGGAACACAGCAGCAAATACTCAGAACATTCCCAAGATATGCTGACTTGCAAAGACCAGCAGTCCAGCTTGTGTGTATCTGGGTACAATTCAATGCATGCTTAGAAAAATTCATACAATTCTCAGCATGCCCCAGCCAATAGGGCTGCCCAACACAATGAGACACACACAAATGCTTTTTTTTTTTTTTACTCACACAATCAAATGCTTAAAAATGACTTAATGGGCTGCAGTAATTTTTAAATTCTTTTAAAAAGTAATTTGGACACAAACAGATCTTTTTTAAAAAGATACTACTTTATGCAATTAAGAAACAAGACTAATCTTTTACACACATGCATGCATGCTTGTGCACTCCCCAGTGTGATCCCCCCACCCTCCTCCAAACTGTGTATATGCTAGATTATGAAAATGTATTGAACAGACTCCACCTCGTAGTCCCTTTGGAGGCTACCTATATGTTGCATGTATTTCCTATATGTCAGAATAAACTGTAAATATTCTTTTGATTGTACACTTCCAGCAGATTCTCTCTGGTTTGTTCTTGTCACCCTCAAGGTCTAGATCAGGGGTCGGCAACCTTTAACGCTCAAAGAGCCATTTGGACCCGTTTCCCACAGAAAACAAAACACTGGGAGCCGCAAAACTCTTTTGACCTCTAAAATGAAAATAACACTGCATTGTTATGAGCAATTGTGAGCAACGGAGGGTTGTGAGCAACGGAGCCGCAGCAGAGGGATTCAAGAGCCACGTGTGGCTCCAGAGCTGTGGGTTGCTGACCCCTGGTCTAGATGAAGCTATGGTTGTTTCCTCATCTTCTCAGTCACATTCTCTTTGAAAACTAAACTGATGAGCAATTGGCTTGCCTAGTGACTCACCTGATAAAAAAAGAGGTGAGATCCAGGTGGAGTGGTTTCTGTGTTTATTCCCTTAGTTTGAAATGAAAGAACGCCCTATGGCAATTTCTGGCTTTCAAAGGAGCAATCAAGACATTGCCACTAGCCAGAAGTCATTCCTCCCACCTCTGTCTGCATATGTGTTCACAAATAAAGCAACAACATGCACAGTATTTGTTCAGGGAAGGTTCTGAGCATGTGCATATTTCACACATGCTCAGAATGTTCCCTCTAGCTGGCAACTGAAGCTAAAATAATCCCGGGCACTTCTGTAAAGGTCTGTTCTGGTTCTGGGTGGGGGGACAAGAGGGAGGTGAAAGCTGAAGGCTCCCTGACCATGCCAGAAGCTGCCACTGCCTAAAACATTATGATAAAGCAGCTTTGAAAACTCAGGTAACACTGTGTCTTACATGTGGTAAGTAATATGAGACAAATATTTTTCAAAATTGCAGATACAGGTTCCTCAGGGCTCTATACTGTCCCCCCATGCTGTTTAACGTATACATGAAACCACTGGGAGAGGTCATTTGGAGACGGGAACCCAGCTTTACATCTTTTTCATCCTACCCAGCTCAAAAATGGACTGGATGCGGGCCAACAAACTGAGGCTCAATCCAGAGAAGACAGAGGTACTGTTAATAGATTGTCTGTCCGCACAGAGGATGGGGTTGCACTTCCCCTGAAGGACAGGGTCCATTGCTTCAGGGCACTCCTGGATCCAAAGCTATCACCTCTCAGGTGGACTCAGGGGCTATGAATGCCTTCTTTCAGCTATGATTAATTTACCAACTGCAGCCCTACCTAGTCACACTCACTCATGCTCTGGTAACCTCTCAATTGGACTATTGTAGTATGTTCTATGCAGGGCTGCCC